TTCTTTCTTTCTTTCTTTCTTTCTTTCTTTCTTTCTTTCTTTCTTTCCTTCCTTCCTTCCTTCCTTCCTTCCTTCCTTCCTTCCTTCCTTCCTTCCTTCCTTCCTTCCTTCCTTCCTTCCTTTCCCTTTCCTTTTCCTCCCCCCCACATCTTTCCTTTTCCTCCCCCCCACATCTTTCCTTCCAGGGTTTCTTCCTCTCTCCCTCCTTCCCTCTCTCTGTCATTCTTATTTTTACAATAATGTTATTAATACTTACAAATACAAAGATAAAAGTGAATAAAAATTATTAAAAATATAAAAAGAAAAGTGAAAGGAGGTAGAAAATAAAAAAATAAAGATACATAAAAGTGATTTTTGCCCTCAGACAAGGCTAAACAATTTGGATAATTTAACAGCTTCTCTAATATTTCAATTAAAAAACTCTTTTAATCCCATATCTTATCTCTTATCAATAGTCATTACAAAAGAAATTAATCTTGCCTATTAAGACCAGGAATATTAACATATAATTTAATCTTAATAAAAAAATTCAATTTATAATCAAACCCTAGCACTTTAATAAATAAAACACTTATAAGTAAATCTTTAAAGCCTTATCATTTAATCTTAGTCCAAAAGAAATTCCATTAACAGCTACCAGAGACCATAACATGTATATTTTAACCCTAATCAAGCAGATTCATTTTATAAATATTGTTATTTTAAAAAGCTTAATCTTTAGATCTATTAAGTGGTAACTCACAAATTAATTCATTATCATTTTTCTTTGTCTCCTTCCAAGTACTTGAACAACACCTCTGCCTTTCGTTTCAGAAAGAATTTCCTTGATTCCATATTCCTTTTATAAATCCAAAATAAGAAAGGTTTCTAAATCACTCTTCCAATTTATTATTTGTATGTCCTCTTTAATTATTAAGACATCAACTGATTTCATTTGTAAATCCATTTTGGCATTATTTTCCATATCATACTCTGGCACTTTAAAATCTGTTTCCACAACATCTTTTTTTCATATCACTTTAATAATTTTAAAACTCCTAATCTATATGCAAATCATTCTCCATCTCTATTTTAGCAAATAAAATCTGTTGTTCTTCCAGTTCCTCTGCCATACATCTCAAACAATCTTGTAAGCAATGTCTGAGTAAGTTGTTTCCAAACAGACGTAATTCAAATAATTTTATACAATAATTTATAATAAATAAATACAAAGTGTTTTGCTTGATATCTTGAAGAACAACTAACAATTGAAATATAAAGTTTTGGGCTTGATGGATAAGTAGGGAAGATTCATACATTGGATTAACTGATGTTATGGCTAAGTGTGATATGTGAACCTAGCATAAATTATTCAAGCAATGAAAATTAAACCAAACTTAATACAGTGCATGATCGTAAAATTACTTTTTACTTGCAGATTAGTATTTAGTTTTGATGTGTTGAGTGAGCTGCTATTCGAAATCCAAACAGAGACCTTAAACGGGATGAGTAAGCCAAATCTATACGGAAAGCTTGAAACATTAATTTTTGGATGCTCCAGAAACCAACTATTTTGGAAGAATACTCCAGCTTCCAGTTATAGCTAATGACCACAAAATGAGTATCTGACCTTTTGATCATTTGGACAGCAAGGATGAATCTGTGCTGCTAAAGCTTGCATATTTTGACTTAGGTCTACATTAGGAAATAGGAAATTTTTATTTTACTGTAAATAAGTATTAACACTTGTAGCTTAAGGTTAGAAATGAAAAGTAATACAGTAATAAAATTATCCATTTGGTTCAGAAGGATAGCTGACAGAACAGCACATTGGCAGCCTTTGTGTCCTGCTTTGGCCAGTTCATTATACTGGCTTATCTTAGTTCATAGAGGAAGAGGAGGGAGGAAATCTCAGAGTTCTCTGTCGGTTTGGATGCACCTTTATGCCATTTTTAGAACTTTTATGTATCCCAAGATGCCCGTTTTTACATGTATACAAATTGCTACTGTTTGTGACTGTATCTGCACAGGTTTCTTCTAAAAACTCTCTAATTCATTTGAGTGGGAAGAAATCAAAGGATATTCCATAATGTACCATTATGTTACCACTGCTAGCTTACGTATAATATATTAAGTCTTTAAAGCTGTATATATGAATTGCTAGTTATAGAAATCAAATAAGTATAATTTTATGTGCATAGTCAAATATTTAAATATGCTGTAATAAAGAAATGATTGTCATCAAAATAATTATTGCTATTGAATTTATAAATGTTTTGTAGATACACAAATACCTATCATGCTATTCTCTTTGGGTTAAACAACTTAATCATTAATATCTTTACATATGAGTGAAATAAGAAATAGGGGCTGGAGGCTAAAACATATGATGAACAGTTAAAGGAACTGGGTATGCCTAGTCTAAATTCTGGGTGTTTGGATTTGGGAGTGGAAATGTCCATGTCTTCACATTGGCAGTCTTCATGTCCTGCTTTGGTCAGCTCATTATACTGGTAGGATAGCTGATGACTGGCAGGTCATATGTGTTCATGGCAAGGATCTTCACTGACTGTCTCTTCAGGACTTGTCTTATCCTTTGGTGGTGGTAGTTGTTGTCTTCCTTGCTTCCTCATCCTGGTTCCTACATGGTGGTGGGATACCAAAGTACTTGTTAGCTGGTCTATGTTATGTGACTCACTGGTAGTTTCACTCTATTACTCTTAACAACTTTCCCTCTCTTGACTCCCATCCTGCCACTTTTTTCCAGTCTGAATGACATCCAGGTGCTCTTACTGTAGATCCCTGTCAGGTGGATCAACAGGTCGATGTCTTCTTCACTCTTTGCATACAGCTTAATGTCATCTGTGTAGAAGAGGTGGTTGATGGTAGTTCCACTCTTGAACTTGTGTCTGTATCCGATCCTTGTAATTACCTAGCTGAGGGGGTTCAAGCCTATACTGAATAGCAGCAGGGACAGAGTATTACCTTGGTATATGCCATACTTAATGGACACTTATGGCGTTACCTTGAACTGACTTCCAAAGTTGTCTTCCACACCCTTTCTTGAGGAAGGTCAAATAAGAGACTAACAGAAGGGACCTTGGAAGTCTTCTAGTCCAAACCCCTGCTCAAGCAGGAGACCTATACGAATCCAGACAAGTGGTTTCCAGAGCTGCAGTAATGCAGTGGTTAGAATGCAGTACTGCAGGCTACTTCTGCTGATCACTGGCTGCAC